AACATGTTATGTCCACTTCCAAATCTGCTAGTATGTTAATTATATCAACTTTTGATACATTTTACATCATGAGTCTTTGAACTTGTCTATCTGATCATAAACTTGTACAATCGTATGAACTATGAACTATATATTTAAAATTTCAGAGATGATTGCATGCTAACTATTACTAGAATAATAGTGATCATTTGCTTGTCTTGTAATAATTTCATAAAAAGAGAGAGAGACAGAGAGTTAGAGAGACAAAGACACAGACAGACAAGCAGTACAATATACGTGTATTATGGATCACAGGTAACACAACTTCGACAACAATGACAATGAATCAATGTGCTGTCATTTACAATAGTTTTATTACAGGAACTGATGCAATGGTCAAACATAATGAGCTTCCAATCACGTCACAAGACAAGATTTATTTTGACAAGAATGGAAATCACCGAGCATCTGCTATATCACCTTTCACGCAGATACACGGTAAGATATACAAAACAAACTTATTAATTAAAATGTTTGTTCATGACTCCATTATTATTGTCAATCAGGAGTTAATAATTATACCAAACAAAAGAGTTATTCATAATGACACTTGTTTCACATACTTGTCCTATGCAATGCATTGTTGCTACAAAGTTGTTTTCCGGTCTGCTGGCCACATCAAATTGATTAAATAAGTAAATCGTAATAATTAACATATTGCTGTTTAGTGATGAGATTTGCAATGAGATTAGAACAAAAAAGTCAGAATGTTGAATAAAATACACGCTGCTAGCAGCGATTTAATTATTCAAGTATCAAACTCCCAATGTTGTACCCATAGCTAATTTTAATCCGATTCTTATTTCCAAACCTCGTTAAAATCGATGTTTTATTCCTGTCATTGTTGGGAAACCGATATCACTGATCAGTCCTACCAATATATTGTATATATGCGCAAAAGCAAAGCACAATTTTCTATTTAAAAAGCAAATATTATAACATCGTTTTAGAAAAGTGTTAACTAGCCCAATTAAAACGACAATACGTATAACATCTGCTGTATTGATAATAATTTAAGGAGGCACGGTAGTGTAGTGGAAGGACGCCTGGCTCGTGACCAAAGGGTTGCGGGTTCACGTCAGGGCATTTTGTTGAATCTATGAACAAATGACTTGTTCCAGTCTACTTAGTTGTTAATGAATTAGTTTTGGTTTGCCGTAGTAACTTAATATTGTTAAATTAGCAAGCTGTAAATTTGACTCGTGCAGGAACAAATCCACTAACAGACCAATAGGTATTTATCACTAGGACCATTTCGAGATTGTCGGGCTGTTGACTATTGCAACTTTAATACCTTCTCTTCATGAGATCGCCAAGGTGATGTTATAATGCGGATATATCTCCAAAGTTCAAGGCCCTGACAAGGCATGAGTCATAAAACTTTTGTCGTGTTGTGTTTTGTATGTTTCATTATTATATATTTGTATTTGGATGTTCTTTTTTTCAGGTACACATGACAGCAACCGTGGTATCTTTCGTGGTTACGGCAGCTTCTTTCGTCCTAATTTTCCTAGATGTTGATGGATTATCTAATGCAAGTTTATACAATATTATTATTATAATTTGTTTTTGTTATTTTGTTTTTACAAGGCAAGACAAAACATAAATGACATTATTCATAAGTACATAATTGATCAGTACATGATTGTTCATACACATTAAACAAAGGAAAGTTGAAGTTGACTTTTAAAATGTGTCATTGCTTTAGAATATTAAACCCTAGGATGATTAAGTTACTTTGCGTTTAAACGAAAAACTTTTGAAAAGATTTTAAGACACTGGATTTTTTTAAGCTTTAAGCCAATAATCGTCTGAGTTGAATCCATTGCATTTTCTTTATTTTACGACACTGATATTTGAAGACAATTCATTTCATGTTCACAAATATGTGTATTGAACAGGCAAAAACAATTGCCATACAACTTATAACAATTTTGGAGAGTAGCGTTGGTTTCGTTTGTTTCTGCAACAGCTGCCACCTGCCTTGTTGTATTTAATGCTGACTACCTACCCAGAGCTCAAGGGATGTTTGGGAATATCATGTTATGTATGTGGATAGGTGTCCAGGTTGTTTGGGAATCGCTGTTTGAGGCTCACAAATGTCATACACCAGGTAGGTGTTAAACGTATATAACAGGAAACTAAAAACGTTACTTGTAATTTAATAAAAAATGGAAAAAATATTTTTCATCGTGTAATTCACGAGGATAAATCCGGAACACAAAAAACACACAAACAAACAAAACTCTTTTATTTTATTGTTTTATTTTTGTTAATATTTTAGCGTCCTTTCAGTATGTAAGGTCATACTATTAGCTTTCCCTGGGTTAGGAGGGGTTTACGGGCTCAAAGACCCCGTCTGTGTTTTATAAAATCCGACCCAAAGGGTCTATAAACACCAAACGAGGTCTATGAGCCCGTTGATCCGTCATGATCCAGAGATAACGGATTTGTCACCCTGACAAACTTTTATTATTGTTTTTTGTAAAATTATAAGTCACTTTGTGACTTTGACTTCACTCAAAATAGCCCCAACCAGTCACTGAAAGAACTGAACATCTGCCAGCCGTGTCTTTTTCTTTAAATCACGCAGTTCCCTAGCGGCCCCTCATTTTCCCTTTTCGTTGAGTTTGCTGTCGTTTTAGATTTCTAGTAGGCTGTATCATCCCCTGAATGAGTTGTTAACCTCGAACGCTTGTTTGTGTCAGACGCCATCTGTTTTGTTATGAAGAGAAATTCTAGTTTGAGTTACCTCCCTTTGCTTGTGCTTTTATAAACCCCGATAGAGCGGAGCCTAGAGGAATATATAGACCCCGGCAAGATATCCAACCGGAACAGTGTTATTATTTAGAATGGTGAAAGAAAACATTGATATCGCTTTTCTGGATCTCAATATATATATATATCGATTTAACATCACTATTTATATTAAGATAGAGACATGCAGACATTATATCAAATATAAACCCTCAGTAGGCTAGGTTTTGTCATTTACAATTAGTGAGACATCAAACTATATCAGTTTATTTTCATTTCATTTCAAATATATTTTATTGATAAAACAAAAGGATTGAGCAAGAGGCTTTGCCTATATAAGCTATCTCCATGGCTTCCAGCATACTTTTGATATTTGAAGACATTGAATACAATATTTACATACATTTCATTTCAACTCATCTCATGACACTTGGATACATTTATTGCTAGGTAATATACATTTAATTAGGCTGGCTTAATATTTTAAATATACCGTTATGAATATACACAGTATTCAAATCGAATTAAATATATGGATATACGTCTTGACCTGGAGCAACTAAAATTTGCTACGGCATCATGAAATAAAGCAAAACTGATACATGCATGTATGCTGATAAAGAAATGTACCAGGACTTATTTGAAGTAGACATGTCTTGAGATGAGTTGGAAAATCAAATAGAAAATTAACTAAAAGAAAACATAAATAAAAAATAAAAAATAATAATATGAAAACACAAAAAGAAGACAGAAATAATTATATAAGAACACAAAATTATTTCAATCACTCACTCATACACTCATACACTCTAACATCACATTTGTATCTACAGGCATGGGTTTGTTGGTTTATTTAATGTAGTTTATATTTGTTTTAAATGAATGTGCAGTTGGGCATTAAATATGATAACAAAGTACACTAGTTCACAGGATACAAATATGTGGCATTTTGGTATTTCATAATAAATTATTAGTTTTTCAATAATTGAATAAATTATAACTATTGATTTACATTACTCCATCATACCTTAAGTGTCATGACCACATAAAGTCCCTGGACATTTGTTGTCCTGTGATCAATCAACCATGGTATATTATATGTAAATATATATATTCATTATCCACTATCAACAGAAATAATGAATTTATCTTACAGAATACAAGGAATACACCAACCACATACAGCTCGTATATTTATCTATTAAAACCGTCCTGTAGCATTTATGTATTTATGCACCCACTCAATTGATTGTTCTGTAAATCACTATTACTAGTGTTTCCATTTAGAATAGTACTTAAAGGTATTGTATTATGGAAATCTTCATCATTTAATAAAAGATCCTGCATAAAAGTTTGTCGTTCTTCTGTATAGAAAGGACATTCAAAAAAGAAATGATAAAAGTTTTCAGTTGCATGACTACAAGGACAGTTTGGACTATTTTTCAAGTGATCTTTAAACAGATCATAGTTAAGTTGACTAGCACAATTTCTTAATTGACACATTAATATATTTCTTTTTCGTGAACCAGAGTATTTAAATACAGGTGTACATACATTTCAGTTTATGGTTGGTAGGACGAAATGTTAACACTTTAATACAGAATATAACAATGATGTTGTTTTTATCTGTAGATGATGTAAATTTAAGTCGATAGTGGAAGACCAACAGCCCAGACCGTTATGCTTTTGTGTTTTGTGATTCCAGCGTGCATGACAATACTCTTATTTTGTTTTTGTTCCAGATCAGAATTAATTTGAGCTTCTCTTTACTAAAACTGTTTGGAATCGGAGATGAAAAAAGGATTTCTAATATCTTTGATTAAAGGATCAAGCAAAGTTGCCTTTGTGAGAGAACTTTAACAATACACTATACCACATTTTTCCCTTCACCAAGAAAAACATGAGTGTCATTTAAAATAAAGAATATACCTTTAGCTGTCATTGACTATCAACTTGCCATCAGACATTGACCTGAGTTTAAAATGAGTTTATAAAATGTCTAACAACTATAACGAAACATGTTATATACATTTTTATGAATCATTTCTGTAAGCCTGAGTTTCAGCATGCAGGAGATTAGTACCACGGCATTTCACAATTCTAGACGCCCATGTACATTGTATGTATATATATATGTGTGTGTTTATGTCATACAAATTGAAAATATAATAAAAAAAAAAAAAAAAAAAAAAAAAAGNCACTATCACAGTCTTTACAGTTTTCACCGAAATATCCAAAATGGTAAAACAGATTAATTCGAAAATCACTATACATGGGACAATCACACAAGAAATGAATCCCTGTTTAGGAACTAAACGTAAAATCTTATGTGATCTCTGGCTTATCTGTGAATGAGACATTTAACAAATGAAGTAATTTTGGGTATGAAATGAGTAAAACAAAATAATTAATTGACGATCAGTTGTCTACATTTTTGTATATATGTAAACATTGGGCTATCTGTTTAAAAGCTCATTAAAAAGTACAAATTAAGAAATTGATCAATGAGTGTTAACATGATACATTAACACAAAGTTTTAACATGTAATCTCAAATCCAGCAACATAATGTATTTCCTAATCAAACTATACTAATACTATATAAAATACAGTACTATATTTAGAACATTCAAATCTAGCATTTTATTTTGCATTTGCTTATCACTCTATACAAATGCTAGATACTGAGATTTTCTAGCACTCTTTTAAAGAATAGTCAAATCTAGCAATTTTTGTACATAGTACAGTCCAGCAGTAAAATACATCACATGTCAGTTGATCAAGTAGCTCATTAGGTAAGAGTCACAATACAAACCCCTGGCTGGGACAGTAAATGCTCGAATTATTCTGGGGAATCAAAGATAGACAGTACAACAATCTGATGTTCAGAGTTCGAAGTTTAAACATTGTTGTTGAAGAACCAATCACATATCTCAATGCCAGGTAGTCGAAAACTATCTCCAGTGTATCAAACCACAGTCACGAGCCAGATACACCACAACGTTCATGGTTATTACATGTTGAACTTTTCCAACAAAGCTTAAAAGAATTAAACCGTTTTAGAGGGCTTTTCCATTACTGACCAGCTTAATAAAATCCAATGGTTTGTGCACGAATTTCAACCTCGTGTTCGTCTTTTGTTTTTATCACTACTATATTTTTGTGTTAATTCATTTCAAAGTAAGCAAAAAGACTGAACTTGTTTCTTGACTTAATTTGATATCTGGAAGGAATCCTTTCTTGACCCAATGATATAATTACTATAATATTTGAAAATGTATCCTAACTTTCCCCATGAGGAACAGTCATTGTTATCAATACCTATTGAGCTTCGTTGATTCCACAACTGTTGGATATTACTGGCTGATAACCCATGCGTAATTCGCGAACAGCGGATCTTGAAATATTGCATATATCCATCAATGTTATCTAATGCATAAATGAAATTATCGACGTGTTTCACTGGTATACCTAACCTGTTAATGACCATTCCCAAATACGCGTCCTCTAACTTGAACGTTTTTGTGTACAACATTCCTCCGTATATTTTCCTTGCAGTGTTCAATGTCATGAAATATCCCGGACCTCCGCAGTATGGCGGATAAAATTCAAAAGGATACTCGTCGTAGGTGGCATGATACTTGGACACGACTCTGCTTACTGGAGTTCTCCGTTTACATGTACCAAGAAGGACATCATCAGACAGATAGGTATTGTCCTTTTCGATTTCTTTCAGAAATTCCAAGTCAAAAAACACATCATCGTCAGTTTTGAAAAAGAAACGTGCTTCATAGCAGAAATGTGTGACCCAGTTGAAACCTTCCATTACTTTATTAGTGAGGCTGTAGTAGTTCTCGGTAACATTAACCTGTAAAATGTCCCCATTCGCACTACTTATTTTGTTCACATCCACATTATTTTCTTTCCCTAACAAGAAAAACAGACAGAAGTTGTATTTCGATTGCATTCTTGGATGTCCCCACGTCTGTCGTACTGTTTCCTGCTGCACTGTATTTGACGCTTTACTTATTACTAAAATAGCAGTCTTTTGTAAACATCTTTCACTACACTTTATTTTTGGATGAATCAAAATTCCTTTAGATATTTGTTTCTCAGGCAGTTCGGTTAACCTCGAAACATCAGAAACAGATAATGTATCCGAATCGTGGAGTATTGTTCGATTCAAGACCACCACAACAACACTGACAAGCAGGCATGTCAGGAATGCTCTTCTCACCCTCTTGGAACGCAGTGTCTAAAATGAAAAGAAACTAAAGGAGTATTTAAGAGAACATGATAATAACAAATGCGTAAAGTTGTTTACAAAACAATGTAATTTATTTTAATCCAAATATTATCACAATAGATCCCATAACTCCCGTATGATAATGGTATCCATTTACTTCCAACGCATGAAACCATCAATATCTTAATGTCTTCTAATTTCAAATGTTAAAGGTGCAATCAGATGCATGTATCATGTACAATTGTATCAATTCCAAAAGATATATTAATTTATATTTTCGGTTCGGTTCCGGTTACCATGAACGGACTACTTGGGTATTTTTGCTAATAATGGGTTATGAACGTTTAAAATATAAACAGAAAAGTACACGTGTTAGAACTATAGGGTTCTGAAAATAATATTCGCAAAACTAGCAACGCAAGGTTCGTAAAGAAGGAATTTTGTGTACTTTTAAAACAATTTAAAATTTATTGACATACAGTTAGGTTATTTAAAAATGCATGCATGACAAGAGGCCCAGAGGGCTTATATTGCCCACCTGGACGTATAGGCTACCATAGCAAAATATTTTCAAGAAATATTATACTGCAAATATTTGCTCTCATCCTCCATTGGGGGCATAGTTTCCTTTTCTAGATTATTAAATCACCTTGGTTCAAAGATGGATGCTGTTTATCAAAGTTGCTTAAAATCCCTTCTTCTCAACTTAAGGCGAAATGTCTTAAGATCTATTTCCACTTCCCTTTTTGGCTTAATCATCCTTCCGCCAGAGGCGCCACGGCCTATGTTTTTACAAACTTGGTTTTGACTTGCCAAATAATGCTCCAGACCATAGTTGGTTTAAATAGGTCATCAGTTTTGAAAATGAATCATCTTAAATATTTCATTCTTTTCACCCGTCTGATTTACTTCACCTTTGTTTCACACTTGGTCTTACCTACGATGGCCGATAGCGGCCGTCATATCTAATATCAAATATGTAAATGACTTGTAAATGTATATATATGTATAGATATACCGTATATCGATTAAGATTCCTTTCGTGATAAGACCCTGTCGGCAACAAAGGCGAAGTAAAGCAGAGGCCCTTTAGTTTATCCGTAGCTTTTGTTAAGAATATAAATCGATCTATTTCAGACGATAAGATTTGTATATATAACTGATTATTTATGAAAAAAATAATATTAAACAAACTAAATAAGTTAACAAAAAATATTGCATATGTAAATAAATGTATTACATGCATGATACATGTAGAGTTTTACAGGTAGATTCGCCCGTTGGACCTCAGACACATTTCCAGAAAAAGGACTATAACCCCTTTCAAAGTAAATCTACAGGTAAATTAAAAATGTTGGCACCCAGATATACAGTCGGTGAGACGACAACTCAGATATGACGGTCGCTATCGGCTACCGAAGAAAAATACTTCATTGTCATACACTAATTCACATTTTGAACATACATATATTTTGTACATACATACATTTTGTATCTACATATACTATGCCACTGCTTTAATATGATCTATTGCTTCACGTGACAAATATGAGGACGCAGAGTTATTATATAAAATATATATGAATTATATCATTATAGGTTGTATTAATATTCGCATATTACAAACCTTCACGAAAGATACAACCCTCCATTATGACGTGATATACCAGCAAACCAATATGTACAAAGCTGCATGGCTTCACAATTGATATATGATCGATATCACATAAGTTAATTATAGTCCATGAAGTTCTACATAGCTTGGTCTTTCGGAATAGTACTTTGTGTCTTAATATTTAGTGTTGGTACCAACTGATATATACTCTATTAATACATGGCAAGTCTATGTTTAAGTAAGCAAAGCGATAATATGTCATCAAGTATATGGACAGTATCTATGCGCAGGTACAGCCCAAGTCGAACACACGTTACTTCCCTATCATGGCGATTAATTGCACGCCTGAGAACGGGGGAGATTTATTATAAACTTAGGACAGAGGGAACTTTGTACCTAATCATTTGTCTACGTTTAGTCGAACGTACTAAATGTGTTGTGTACCTAATTATTTGTCATAACGAATAACGTTTAGTTTGAAATAACAACTAAATGTGTTTTGTACTCAACTACATAGATTATTTGATACAAAAACACAGTTAGTATCAAATGTATTTTGTCAGCCGCTGTCGGCCGTCGTTGTTTACCGATTAACTTTCCTTTCGTAATCAGACCATTTTTTTTTAACAAAACTAATAAGTAAACAAAAAATATTCCATATGTAAATATGTTATACCGTATACCGAATAACATTCCTTTCGTAATAAGACCCTGTGGGAAACAAGGGTGAAGTATAGCAGACGCCTTTTAATTGATCCGTAGCCTTTGTTAAGAATATAAATCGATCTATTTTAGAGGAAACAATGACAATAAGAAAGTGATTGTTTATGATAAAAACAAAAATATTGCATATGTAAATAAATGTATTACATGCCGGATACATGTTTTACAGGTAGATTCACCCGTTGGACCTCAGACACCCTTTCAGAAAAAAAGACTATAACCCTTTTCAAAGCAAATTACCCACCAGGTAAATTAAACATTTTGGCACTTAGAGATACTTCATTGCCATACACTAGTTCATATACAGGTAAATTGATATACTTTATGCAGACGTAATGTTCTTTAATGAATATGTCTATTATACAAAGTATTATAAACTTTAAACCATCAGTACATGTACCACAGACCCACATCGGTGTATGCATTTATAATTAAATTGGTTATCTTGCAATATATTTATTATGTATTAACGCATACTAATTTCTTTAACAGATACTGCCAGAAACGTATATTATATATACCGACAAACAGTTACACATTTAACTCACATTTAACTCAATACAATACGTATGTATGCGATGCTTGATTATATTTGATTATATTTATTTCTAAAATATAATTGAATTATGCGATTTAAAATAAAAAAGTCGCCACATAATATACAGTGATAATTTGAAATCTTGGTTCAATAATAAAATCAACTCGATACACTCCTTTAGCTTACTTAGGAGTGAAATTTATGTACTGGTTATTAACACTAAACACACCTGTTTCAGGAGCTGACAGCAGGAGGCCTGCGACACACCTTTATACCTGAACTTGCACTACTATCTTCCAAATTCCAACATATACAGCTGAAAACAAACAAACTTCAAGAAAATGCCAACAGGATAGGATTGAAGGTAAATACTTCCAAGACTAAAGTAATGCGGATGAACACCACTAATAACAACACAGTGAAGTTGAATGAAAAAGAGCTAGAGGGTGTTGATACCTTTACTTACCTAGGAGGAATAGTAACAACAAAAGGTGGCTGTGACAATGATATAAACAACAGGTTCAAGAAAGCGAAAGGGCAATTCAGCAGGTTAAGAAAAATATGGAGATCATCATTACTGTTATTCAAAACAAAGGTCAGGCTATTTAACAACTTGGTTATATCAGTTCTACTGTATGGATGTGAAACCTGGAAAACAACAGAACAGGACAAAAAAAATTTGAACACCTTCAAAACTAGATGTCTGAGACAAATTTTGAAAATAAGATGGCCCAACACCATTACAAATGAAAACCTTCACAACAGAGCTGGAACAAAGAAACTTAGTGATGATATCATGGAACGTCGTTGGAGATGGATTGGCCATGTACTAAGAATGGACACCAACAGCATATGTTCAGTGGCACTGACATGGAAACCAGAGGGGAAAAGAAAGGTAGGACGTCCTAAAACCACCTGAGGCGGACTGTTGAGACAGAAAGAACAACACTCGGATGGAACAGCTGGGCTACAGCAAGGACAACAGCTAAAGACCACCTGAAGACGGACTGTTGAGACAGAAAGAACAACACTCGGATGGAACAGCTGGGCTACAGCAAGGACAACAGCTAAAGACCGTGTCAAATGGAAAGAATGTACCAGGGCCTTAAATGCCGACCGGCATGAAGAGGATAGGTGAGGTGTGAAGCACTGTCAAAGAGTCAGATTACACTGCATCTCCACATTATATATTTGATTAGGTGGTTCAATAATAAATTACTAAACTTTGTGAGACTTGAACGGACTTGTTCTCCCTCTGTAAGATTCTTAAAATTTGTTTGAATATTTTATTATGTGTTACAAATGAAACATGTGTATTTGTTAATTTCCGTAATTCTCTGGAATTCTCTAAATCAAGTAAATGGCAAAGTATCCTAGGTAAAAGTTTTGACTTAGGCATTTTGGCTAGGGTTTGATCAGGATACATAAAAGAATGTGAAATGAAGTGTAAAAACCAGTTTTGGAAAGATGTATTCAAATGTTGGAGGTGTCTTAAAAAGAAAGACAGACTTTGGTAAGTGGGAATGAACATTTTATTGTAAATGGACAAAATGGTATTTTATAAAGAACGGTATAACAAAGGAATTGTTATTGTTAATGATGTAGTTAAATTTCCAAACACATATACCGTTTACAATTTTCAGGAATTTAAGGGAAAATATAATATCAACTCTAACTTCCTAACTTACCATGGCATTGTAAAATCCATCAAGGAATATACAGCACATATACGATTAGATGACGAGTTATCTTTTACCCATTATGACCGACTAATTTAGAAAGTTTTATAAAAAACAGTAAGGGATTCTACAACATACTTTGTCGAAATAACACTGGAGAAGATTGTTTTTATCGTTGTGGTTGTGGTTTCCATAACTATTCAGAGAAGTGAACAAAGTTGTTCTTTGTTTATTAAAAATAGGACATTCCAAAAAGTAATGAGATACTGTTTCAGGTTCAGCAGAGCAGATACAAGCAGGACTATTAGTAAGATGGTCATGGTGTATATGGGTTCATCAAATTTCCAATTGAATCATAAAAAGTAAAATATTTGCAGTCACTAGATTAACGAATTATGTACAGACACCGATTCATTTAGAAAGCATCCGCATGTGTGTTCTGACATATACAACACATCGTTTGAATCCTCAATAGGAACGCAGCGTTTAACTTGTGACGGCACAGGTGTGAGCTAATAAAATTGAGGCGATCGTCTCTGAGGCAAAGTTTTTTTCTTCAGAAAAATCACAATATCCCGGAAACGAAGGCCATCACGACGTTCGCATTTTTTAGCATTTTATTGCATGATATGAACTATTTTCGTAGCGTAGTATAGCAAATCATCCAGGGTAAACTTTACTAGGTTATAGCTTTTTATAGCTATTCTTTATTAACGCATACTACTTTCATTAAAGAATACTGTTTAGATATTTAAAGTACATGAATAGGAAACATCAATATTTTATTTAAGTTTTTAAAAAATTGGAGGGGAGAAAACAACAGGATGTATAAACTGATGAAAAGGCCAGAAACAATATGATAAAGACCATCACATCTTGCAATGTAGTTAACTCCAGTGCACATGAATGTGAACGCCAATGCATTCGAGAGTTAACTCTAGTACACAAGCTAGTGCACTGGAGTTGACTTTTCTTGTCAATTCCAGTGCACTAGGCTACCAAGGTAAGTTTTCTCCCAGCTGGAGAAAATGTAAGATGTGTTCATGTACAAATTTTAAAAACGTATATGTACAAGTCTTAAACATATTAGATATATGATGTGGCGGCCGCTACTGACCATCGTATAACACGTCTCTAACCTGGTCACATGTTTCGCTCAATATTCATTTTGTCGTCTTAAAATTCTACCTGCATGCGTATGTAATATTTCAATGTTATGAACGATCAGTAGACCTTTGGACTGTATCACTCTGTAGGCAAGTTATTTAAGCTTGTCTGTTGCTGTGACGTAAACAAATCTAACGAAAATCAGAGAGAAAACACATAGGAACAAATCAATTACACATGGCAACTCAAATGTATACTTACTGCAGACAACAATGTCATCATGGCGTCCGTATCCCATAGAGCCTCTATTGGAAATATTTGCTTTGTAAATTCATGATACGGACACCGTTTTACTGTTATTGGTTTCAAAACGGTGCTCATCTAAATATAATTGGAATAAACATTAAACATCATTTCTTCTGACACTTGTTTCCATTGGCATACTGAGCTATTTATAGCACGAAACATAACCTTTGATCATAGCAGACAGACGCAATAAATGTAGATAACGGTTTATGAGAACATCTTAAATATAGCGGTGCAATATCGTGTTCACCCTAGGATACTTCCTGTTACAACACGTTGATTTTAAAAATGGCGATACCAATTTGACCCCGGCATACATTATCACCGCTGCCAACCAGACGGGAACATGACGTAATTAACATATCGATGACTCATTTCTATAAACACAGGCCAGCTACTCTAATTAGGCCAAGGTTATCATTATATCCATCTTGCTTTAAGTTCTCTGAGCAATTTAAAAGGTATATATTTAGTGACCGGCAGAAGGATTCCACAACACATAATCAAACAACTATTACTTCTATTTACATGGATATTTACAATATAAGGTTACATTTACTCTTTTTTATCTAGTTACCTGTACTCTTTTATATTCAGTTTCCTATACTCTATTATATTTGGTTACCTTTACTCTATTATATCTGGTTACCTGTACTCTTTTATATTCAGTTTCCTATACTCTATTATATTTGGTTACCTGTATTCTTTCATATTAGGTTACCTGTACTCTATTATATTTGGTTACATTAACTCCATTTATTTGTTACAACTACTATATACTATACGGTAACAGGTACTCTATACTATTTGGTTACCTGTTCTGTAATATATTTGGTTACCTTTACTCTATTATATTTGGTTACCTTTACTCTTTTATATTTGGTTACCTGTACTCTTTCATATTAGGTCTTATTTGTTACAACTACTATATACTATACGGTAACAGGTACTCTATACTATTTGGTTACCTGTTCTCTAATACATTTGGTTACCTGTTCTCTATAATAGTTGGTTACCTGTACTATATTATATTTGGTTACCTATACTGTACAATATAAGGTTACATTTACTCTATTTTATCTTGTTACCTGTACTCTTTTATATTGAGTTTCCTATACTCTATTATATTTGGTAACCTGTACTCTTATATATTAGGTTACCTGTTCTCTATTATATTTGGCTACATTTATTCCATTATATTTGTTACAACTACTACAGTGTATATAATATACGGTAACAGGTACTCTATACTGTTTGGTTACCTGTACTTTATTATATTTGGTTACCTATACTCTATTATATTTGGTTACCTGTACTATATTATATTTGGTTACCTGTTCTCTATTATATTTGGTTACCTGTACTATATTATATTTGGTTACCTTTACTCTATTATATTTGGTTACCTATACTCTATTATATTTGGTTACCTTTACTCTATTATATCTGGTTACCTGTACTCTTTTATATTCAGTTTCCTATGCTCTATTATATTTGGTTACCTTTACTCTTTCATATTAGGTTACCTGTACTCTATTATATTTGGTTACATGTACTCCATTATATATGTTACAACTTATATATACTATACGGTAACAGGTACTCTATACTATTTGGTTACCTGTTATCTATTATATTTGGTTACCTGACCTATATTATATCTGGTTACCTATACTGTACAATATAAGGTTACATTTACTCTATTATATTTGGTTACCTGTACTCTATTATATTTGGTTACCTGTACTCTATTATATTTAGTTACCTTTACTCTATTATATTTAGTTACCTTTACTCTATTATATTTGGTTTTCTATACTTTATTATGTTTGATTACCTGTACTCTGTGATTTTTGGTTACCTGTACTCTATTATATTTGGTTACCTTTACTCTATTTTATTTGGTTACCTTTACTCTATTATATTTGGTTACCTTTACTCTATTATATTTGGTTACCTGTACTGTGTGATTTTTGGTTACCTGTACTCTATTATATTTGGTTACCTGTACTTTATAAAATTTGATCACCTTTACTCTATTATATCTGGTTAACTGTACTCTATTATATTTGGTTACCTGTACTCTATAATATTTGGTTACCTGTACTTTATCATATTTGGTTACCTTTACTCTATTATAATTAGTAACCTGTACTATATTATAATTAGTAACCTGTACTATACTATAATTAGTTACCTGTACTCTATTATATTTGGTTTTATGTACTGTCTTATATATTGTAACATGTTCTCTATTATATTTGGTAACCTGTAGATAGTCAGTTATTAGAAGTTCACCAGCAATTTTAAATTAATATCCCTGAATACTAATGTTCTGGATCTGGAATACCAAGGTTCCTAAAGCCCGGATGTTATCGAGCCTGGTACACTGATATCATTAATCAGAATACGGAGTTTTGTATACGTATACTTTAACCGTATGCTACGTGGGACTGCGTACAATACAATTCATAACGCCCTAAACATCTGCTTTATCAAGTTCCAAAACAATGTATAGAATATATTGTCTATCGGTCTTTTGATCACATTTTCTGTTGAAGTCGTGACCAAAGTTTGCAGTCGGGCGTTCTAGCTGAGAATAGGTTATATTTAGCAATAATGCACAATGCACACACGTCTACATGTAGAAAATACCACTGGATATTACATTTAGTAGCTAGCGTCAAGGCTAAATGTTGTAAACACCAGTGCACAGTTCTGTGTTCTCTGAATGGGTTAAATTATCCATGAGTAGATTTAGTCGGTGACGAGTTCACAATAACCTATACCATACCATATCAAAAACTATAGAATTATCGTTTTTCAGGGACTGTTTATTTTTTCTAATAATGGCAGACATCCATACATGTACATTATCAAAATGAGCCAATGCTGCGCGCACCTACTTTGACAAAACATGTTATTATCAGGTCATAGGTCAATCAGACGGACAATATTGCTAAATGTTTAAAGGGACAATTTAGTGAAGTAAGTTTTTTTTGATTATTTGAAAATTAAGTCGATACTGAACATATATATCACCTAACAAAAGTTAACGTATTTGAAAATGATATGATCTGAAGCCAACGTCCAGTATGGTCAGTTTCATCTTTTGGGATATCTGGTGATAAACATAGCTACGGCCGAACTAGCGCAATATCTTGGCCTTTCAGTGAGAAAGTAAATATGTACATGTACATCTACGCGTTCGACCGACTTACACAACACATCGCCAGAAAGAAGTATAAGTATCATAGTTCAGACCACAGAAAGTACGATATCAATCGGTTTAAATGTAAAATAGATCACTCATTTATAACGATGTTTAAGATGCTTTTTGAAGATGTTTTTGATTCAGAATAGATGCATATACTTGTATTCAGAGAGGCTAAGCGAATAAAACGAGAAGTTGCCTTCTCTCCTCGGCTCGAAAAACATTTTTGTTAGCTTGAAATCCAATAATAATTTCTCTCGTCCGAATATTTGTGCATTTTTACTATAGCTATAGACACATCATGTAGGGGTTTATGAATGGATTTTCTATTGGTTCAGTATCGGCCTCTCAGATCCCCGGAACCTCGCGCATGGTTTATCATACTTTTAATATTTCACTTAGACATACTTTTGCTTGGAATGGCATCATCTTGGTTGATGCCATAAAACTCGCACTTTGACGTTATATTCTATGCATCATTCTAGCTGTAGCGTCCAGAGAGTCAACATTTACGTCCGGAATTAATTATTGCAAATATAATTGCTCCGAAACCTGTGCTTGTATGATTTATAGAGTGTGTCATTCCTGTGTGGTGATGTCAGAGGCATCCCAAAGCTAGTACCAACTTCTTACGTAAAGCACGAGGCTTTCCCTGGCGCTAAACTTCAAAACTATTATAAAGAGTGTTTACATTTCTCTTTTTGCATAATACATGAGACTGATTACTTGTCCCCAAAATTAATATGTTGAACCGAATACACTGCGCCATATTCCTGAACGCATGAAATGTGTGACAAATTGAACATGATGAAGCAAGTTGTTGATTATGCTGTCACGCATACTACCTCTCACCGGCGTGTTATTGTGTGGCGTATACATTGTAGCTCGTATAATGCTTCATGATTAAATTGGTTGTTGTAGATTCTGGAAATAACAAAAAGTATTCATACTTCATTTTAATATATATTATATCAAATTATGTAAACAAAAGTCCATGCTTTATGCACATAAAGTATTTCGATGATATAGAATTATTATCTTGTATTCATGCGAACACTAGGAGGGCTGGTACATGTAACTAAAGCATCCCTTTCTAAAACTTTAACAATTACATTAACAATTATTGATTTTTTTGGATTAATTAACGCAAACATTGTAAGTTATGCCGTATAACTACACTGGACGGGTTACTGTATATCGAGAAATCGTCGCTGCAATTTAATTTTCGCCTTCCGTAATAAGGGCGATTTTATCGTTACAGCAAATATAAGTAAACAACACAATACACATAGTAATGAAATGAGAAGGGCGAAATTAGCCCTGGGATAAAATTGAATTCAGGGGTGAAGGATAAAAGTTTTGACCAGGCGAAAATGTATATCTGGTTTAAAGCCTACTGGTTAAGCTAAACAGAGTCGACTGAGCTGAAAATATTTAAGACTATGGAGCTATTCCTTCTCGTAAAGTTGTACAGCTATTGCTAAGTATTAAGAAAGGTCCGTACAATTACTATATACACGTAATCTGTAGTCGGTCAAGGAGGTCCTAACCTAGCTATGTCCGGACAGTCACATGACAATCTAAAATCAATTTGCAGTAAACTGTAAGAATTTGTAAAGCTACATTCTAACTACTTAAACCGAGAAAAATGGTAGTAGTAAAGAGTTAAGCCGACTCCAACCCATGCATACGGAGTTAATTTTGTTATGACGTTCATGTATATGACTGTTGATTGGTTTCGATGATTTGATAAAAAATAGATATGTTTGTTGTATATAACCAATCTTTCGGCTATCTCTTAAATTTGAGTAAGTCTTTATTTCTTTAAGTGCATAATGTTTACATATGCCCTTCCTATTTTCCATTAACACTATGGAGGGCCAGGCTGCTGTTACATGACAGTAACTACAGGCTGACTTGATGGCATAACGATACGGTACTGCCAATTTAAACAAATAAAATGGCCGCTTGGACATCCCACTTTGTCTAAGAGGCAATCGAAAATTTTATTTAAAAAAAATATATAGTTATATTTAAACTACTATACAGAGATATTTTTTTATAAAATTAGTTACATGTTTTCTTTTTATTAAGA